TAAAAGATTAGGTCAAGTGTGGTTGTCATTCTAGCTCTCTTACTGCGTATAGGTTCTTTATTTATAGATTCTTGATCTATAGTCTCTTCATTTTTATGAGGTCTCTTCAATGAATTTGATTCACTTTGCATGTTCTAATAAAACGTTTTCGAAAAATCTAGCGTCTATCGATTCAATAACCTTATTAACATACACATCTGGTACTTCAGACTTTTGTACAATAAATATGTACGCACTACTATGTTGTGTGTGTGTGTGCGCGCGCGCGTGTGTGTGTGTGTGTATATATATATATGTATGTATGTATGTATGTATGTATGTATGTTTTTCAATGGGGTAAATTGTTGAGAATTTAATTGGCAGAAAGCAAAGCTTCCCTCCACAGGTTCTGAGGTAATCCCAAACTTATCAATATAGCATTCATCATTTCTTTCAATGTTCGATTATTGCGTTCAGTAATACCATTAGATTGAGGAGAATAAGGTATGATAATTTTATGAATAATTTCATGTTCCGAATAGAATTGTTCAAACGTGGAATCATATTCACAGCCTCTATCACTTATTACCTTAATCTTTTTGTTAAGTTGATTCTTAATCTCTAATTTATATTGTTTAAACACTTTAATTGTTTCGTCTTTGGTTATGAGTAAATACACATAACAATATTGAGTATAATTATCAATAAAAGTGATAAAGTAATTTTTATCACCTTTAGTTTGAACAAATTTTAAATCACATATATCGATGTGAATTCAATTTAGAGGTTCGATACTTCTTTTGATAGAACGAAAGGGTATGCGAGCCATTTTCACTTCTACATATATACCGCATTTGTGATTATGATTTAAATCGCACTTTGGTTATAAATCTAATTTGATTAGTTTATACAAAGTATTATAATTTACACGTCTTACTCGTTCATGATAAATATTAAACAATTCAAGCAAGTAAGAAGAAGATACAATTTTATTCATAGTAGGAGATGCAAACATTATTCAAAAATTTTATTCAATTCTAAATGATTTTCAATAAATAAATATTTAACATTAGTTATCTCTCGGAGTGAAATGTAAATATGCTTTGTTCCGTTAAAATCGAAGAACAGGTTTCACTAAAAGTGAGCTCAAATTTGACTTCACTAATTAAAACCATGTCAAAATTACTTTCATTAATGGAAACTTACAAAAGGAAGTGTACATGACACAACCCGAAGATTTTGAGTCTAAAGATACCAACAACTTATGCCTTGGTTGATCAATTTATGGGTTAAAGCAAGCCTTTAGAAGTTGAAACTTTGATTTGATGGAAAAATCAAAAGGTTTGATTTTATTAAAAATGAAGATGAACTGTGTGTCTACAAGAAGATAGTGGGAGCGTCGTCATGTCCTTAATATTATATGTAGATAACATATTAATAGGAAACGACATTCCGATATTTCAATCGTTAAAACTGTGTTTGTTAAATAATTTCTTAATGAAAAAATATGGGAGAAGCAACTTGATCTATAGAGATAGATCTAGAAGATTGTTAACTCATTCCAATATACATAAATAAAATCTTGAGAAGATTTTCTATGGAGAATATGAGCAGAGAGTTCATGGATACACTGATACTAATTTCTAGTCAGACTAGAATGGTAGTAAATCTCGAATAGGATATTGATTTACTCTTAAACGGTGTGTTGGAAAGGTTCCAAACATGAAACAACCGTTGATTCAATAACAGAACCCTAATATATGATTGCTTCAAAAGTAGTAAAGAGTTGCGGTATGGATCAAGAAATTCATTAATAAACTTGGAGTAGTTTCTAACATTGTTGATCACATATATTTGTATTGTGGTAACAATAAAGTCGTGATCAAGCGATGGAACTAAGGTCTCATCAATTATCTAAACATGTGTTAAGATAGTATTATCTCATCAAAAAGATAATACAAAGAAATGACGTAAAGAAAGAACGAATTCCCACAATTGAAAATATTATAGATCCATTGACAAAGAATTATTGCAGTATAAAAATGATTGTCGTGTAGACTTTTATGGTATTAGATATATAAGTGATTAAATTTAGTGCAAGTGAGAGTTTGTAAGTGTTATGTCTTATGTTCAATCAAACTTTGGATATAAACACTTTTAATAAATAGTTAAAGCTATTTTATGACATATCTATTATTTAATTAATATTCAATTAAATTAAATAACAAAATTCGTAAATTCAAATCTTGGTAATTTGTTAATTACAAAGAGATGTGATTATGGAATACAAATTACATATAACTGAATCTTAAATCATTTGTGTTCATAAGTAATAACGAGACATTGATAACGTTATTACATATAGACCATCACGTGTGACACTTCTTACTTGTGAAGTAAGTATCTGATTTCACAAGTTAAAGTGTGGTAACACTTAAATAAAATATTGGATGTTAACAAAACATTGGAGACTCGCGAGGGAATTCCACATGGATAATTATTTGAGTATCAGTGATTAATTTCTAACGTTCGGTAGTAGAATTGGTCATTTGACTTGAGATTATCATAGTACCTTAAATGAGGACAGTCATACTTTAGTGATATTGGATGTTGCTCTACCAAAGGTCGTTAATATGACATCGTTTGGATATGTCAATAATGATATGAAGGTTGTGAATGATCAATAAAAGATTCGTCACTCTTAGTTAGTAAATGATTATGATCTATATTTCATTCAGTTAAGTTGATTATGGAATCCTTGGCCAATGTGTACTCATAAGTCGAAAATGAGTTTTCGACTTATATTGACTTAAATAGTGTAATGAAAGATATGATCGATATTTGAGATTGACATACTTCCATCTCTCATAATTGATCTGATTATATAGATGAAATAATTATAGTTTCACGGTAAACGAACAAGTCTGGTTGTGTCATACCACGTGACATTTTTCGTCACATTGTTTTGACATATTACTAGATGTCAATCTGGAACGACGAATGTGAATTAGTAATTAAATGGGGTATTTTAATTTATTGATTCTGATTAAATCAAAGAATAATTTACGTTATTAGACGTCGTGATTGAAAACCTAAATAGTCACACATAAAAAGAGAACTAAGAGAATTAGATTTACCAATTAATTAATTAATAAGTGTTGGATAATAAATTAATTGGATTGCTTATAAATAGTTCGAATTAATTAATTCATGGGCCAAATTTAATTAATTGGATTAATTAGATATTGGACCGGATTAAGTTATGAGACAGGCTAAACTTGTTTGAGTTTATATAAATAAGCTGCTAAAGTTTGAAAAATGGTAGGGAGAAAATTCATATTCTTGCTAGTACAATAAAAGTAAAAAATCCTATTTTTTTCAATCTTGTTCCCTATGTGGATTTTCATTGGAGGTTGGATAACTGGATAGCTGTGGATTGCAGATCGTGATTGTTGGAGATGAAGAAAAAGAAGGGAGTTTATAGAATTCAACAAATGTATAATTTCTATCACAGTTTCTATGTAAACACAAAACAAATCATTGGTGGGAATTGAAATTTTGTTTAAATTTCGCTCTGCGTGATTAAGTAAATTTCCAATGCTGTATATGATGTTTACGATGATTTATGACTTTTAAGATGGCCAAATGTCGTAGTAAATAGTACATATATATGAACTTATTTCAATCCAATCGCTTCTTCCATTGTATTAGCTTGCCAAACATGGACCATAAACATCATATAAAATGAAAACTAGGTATTTGATTGAAACTAGAGCATAAATCCGGTGACACCAAAATAATTTATCTATATATGTACTTCTTAACATAAATAACTTTCCTTGAATAACTTGTGAAGCAATAATGTGTATAATAAAATCCGGAGAATCACCATCTTCCCCTTATCGTTACTACAATATAATTCCGACACCCATAGAATTTATGCAGTTTAAATAAGGATTAGTCATATTTTTATTTTCTTAGCCTATATTTGACAAATGTCCATAACTGATTAAATTTTTTTTAACTATTCATTTCGTGAAATCCACAAATACTGCTCACTATCGATTAATTATTTTATAATTTAAACTATTTATAAACACTTTTCAAACCAACTTAAAAAATAGAGAATTTCTTTCAATTATTTTGTGTAGAAAGAGTTCTGCTTACAAAGTGACCAATTAAGATTGCAGTTGATTATGATTAAGAAGATTTACTTTTAGATTTCACATAAGAATTAATTTGATTTTATTTTTTTAGCCTATATTTGGCTGATGTTTATAAACTGACAAATTATTTCTATTCATACATTCCATGAGATTTAAAAGTATTATTCACTTATTCATCACCTATTCAATCTATTCACAATTTAAATAATTTATAGGCATTTCCAAACAAAACTTTAAAAGCAGAGAATTTTTTCAATTTTTGTTGTTACTGTGAAGAATGATTCTCTCATAAATTGAACAATGAAGACATCGGTTGGTTATTATTTACTTAAAATGTAAAATTTAAAATTAGTACACTTTTGAGTAGTGCTAATTGTATGTATTAGTGTACATAATGGTGTAACTTTTTGTCTCTTATTCTCTTTCTTTATTTTTTCGGTTGTGCTACATGTACAAATAATTTTATATAATGATTTAAATACACATAATGTAATGAGATATGATTGAGTTAAAAATTCATTCAATCAAATAAAAAAATTCATTTTCTTTTTGACACCTTATTTATATATAAATCATTATGTAACTGTTTACATATAAGTAACATTATTCCATATATAGTAGGTTACATAATGTCACATGGCACTCTACCATTTGTAAGTTTCAGAACACAGTTATCTATTCCCTTCATATCATATTATGTAATCTATTATGTATAATTTTCGTGTACAAGTACATCGAGATGTAGAAATAGCATTACTCATTGGCCAAAAGTTAAAAATAAGTAATTTATTCTTTGACAGCAAAATATGAAAAAAGGAGTTACTTTTTCTTTCTCAGCCAAACGTGCTCTAAACAAAATATCTGCTTCCACCGTCCGCCGCCATAAATCCCTTTACCCTCCCACTATTGCTCCGCTTATTTTGCTTACGCTTCTGGTTCCTCGGTAGCGATTCTCTTTCGTGCGCCTATACGTACAAATTGCTTTAAAGAGAGAGAGAGAGGGGAGCGAGAGGGGGAGCATTTGCGGCCTCTTGTTATTGTTCTTAATCGACGAGGTAGGGCACAATTCTCTCCGCAATTATTTTAAGTCAATTCTCTCCGCAATAATTTTAAGTTCCAGGGTTTTGCGAATTCTGTGGACATATCGTAGTAAAGAAATCTAGGGTTTCAGATCAGGATTTTTTAGGTCAATTGTTTCATATGAATGTTTTGTGCTTTATTTTGCTTCCGTACTCTTAATTTTAGGTTTTATAGTCTGTTTTTCTTTACAAAATAAAGATATGCTTGTTTGAAGAAAAATTTCTTTGTTCGGTCGATGCTTAATTTCAGCTATTGAATCGGAATATATTTTTTCCTGCTTATGTAAGTACTTGTGCTTGCTATGGCTGTATGCATCAATGCATGTACGATTTTATAAGTGAATGAGCTATGGTTCTACTTAACATTTGTTTTAATCATTTTTTGTCTAGGGTGAAACCTATGATATCTGGGGTGCTTGCTTAGGGCTGTTGCACTCAGCTTAGTTTCTGTTTTTACTTTTCTTTTGTAATGAAGCTATATATGTTATGTTTGCTTTTGGTCATTCCATAGTTTATGTTGAGTGCTAAATTTGCTATTTCAAGACCACTTTTCATTCTGCATGACTTGCCAGAAGTTTGATGATTTGTCTTCCATATATATTTATATAATGTTGTTTTTGGAATGTTGTTTATTGAAGCTACAGGAAAATTAAGAGGGAACCTTTGATATGGCTGCTACTGCGATGGCCTCTTCTACTGACATTCGATATGGGCCAGAGGACCCCACCCTCTCAAAACCATGGAAAGGCCTGATTGATGGTAAGACGGGATATCTTTATTACTGGAATCCAGAGACCAACATTACCCAATATGAGAGGCCCATTATCTCTTTGAAAGCAAGCTCTGCTGCGCCAGACAAATCTTTGAGTTCCTCAGTTCAAAAGTCTTCTCAAGGAGGCCACAAAGCTAATGATGATGATGATAGATATAACAGAGGTAGCAACAGTGGGTCAGTGAAGGTTGCTTCTGGGACAGGAAGTTATCAGGTGCTAATGCAGCTATGTTTTAGTCCTACTTTTTTTGAAGGAGAAATCTTCGGAACAAAGAACTTAGCTTTGATTGCATCCAAGTATTGGTTGATATCCATTTAAAACTAATTTACCCTGCGTATTTTTTTGGTTGATCCATTGTCTGTCATGTTTGCTTAATGCTCTGTAAGAAATATGCTTAATTTGTAAAAGACATTAACTGCAGCTGCACAAGTTCAATTATATTCCTCTTATTACATTTTCTTAGAAAGGAAAACTGAATGCTGATGCTGATATTATGCATGCCTTCATTTTTGTGTATGTTGTTGCATTAGTGTCAACTTCATAGGCCAAATCTCTCTATCTGTTATGTTGACATCGTTGTTTGATGTTGGTAACTATTCCAGATTAAAATTAGAATATTCATCTCTTAATAGTTCTGCTATTATGTATAGTCTACTGAATGGTTTATGAGAATTTTCTTGACATTCACTATATAGATCAAATAGCTTTGCGACATATTCGGGAGATCAATATGTTCTCTCTGTCCTGACAGTGTTGTCAACGGTTAAAGAAGTTCAAAAAGGGTTGTTATTGAGCAACTGAAGAGATGGTGAATCTCTGTTACCTCTGAAAGTGCATCAAACAAAAATTTGGAAGATATGATCTAATGATGTTATTATTTGCTTTTGAATTTGTTGGATAGAGTCTGATATAATGAATTGAAGTTGATACCATTAGGTTTTTTCTTATATGATGTTGATGAAGTACTTTTTGGTACAGAAAATAACATTACAAATATATCTCGACTCTTTCAATCTTCCTTCTACTTCAACTTATTTGGAGTTCTGTACTGAGATACTTGTAACTTTGTTTATGCATAAAAATATTTGGCTGCGCACTGGTACATTTGGACTTGCATAACTTCATTCTTCTGCATATCAGTTAATTTTTCCCTTCATTCCTTTTTGATGAACTAACCAATTAATTTTCCTTCACTCGTACCAGAGTGCAAGAAGCAGATCTGATCATTTACGTGATGATCTGATTGTGAAAGCGAGTTCTGGACTTGGATTGTTCTCTTCAAAAGTTGCAGAAAGTGGTTTATCTGCTGATTCTTATCGCCGTCAACATGACATAACTGTAACTGTAAGCATTTATATTACTTGTATTTGTGAACCTGATGCTAAGTTGATATTTTTCTTAATTGAAGAGATAGTGCTGTATCCACCATAAGATCCAGTGTTTTAAATTATTTGGATTAACTTAAGCCTCGTGTAGCCAGCCTGGGAGATCGATATGTAGATATGTTTTCTAATTTGGTCAAATATGGCAACTTAAAATGATCTGTTGACTCAAACCTAGCAATGGGTGATGTAAGTTTATATAGGACACAGATCCAAACTTCGATAGCATTGACATAGTTTGGGAATATTCTTGGTAGGTATTGTCTTCTCTCCCAATTGATATATGTCCTTACATATAGCTTCCATATGGAGAAATTACTAAGTAAATTATTTATGGTCATACTTCATTTTCAATGGACCCACAAATATTATCTGCTTTTTCACCAATTATTTTTATTTATTTATAAATTAAACCACTGAAGGAGGCATAATCATAGAATTAAAATGTTTTTGAATCCTTCAATAGAACTAATGGCAAATATATCTGTGGTTTCGAGTAATATAGTGCTTCAGTTGGTTTTTGTCAACCGAGGTTTAATTTGAAACATTCAAAAGTAAAAGCTTATTTTAACCCGATTGATGTATGAGTTGCAGTAAGTTTTGGTGTCAAAATCGTGGTAGTAATCTAGATTTCTACTCTTTCTCCTGATCTATAATGCTTTTCTTTTATGCTTTCTTGTACATGCTCGTTCATTTATTGATGTTCTTTACCGATTGCTACATCGATTATATTTGTATGTTTTAACTGCTTTTCTGTACTTCAATTAACTAGGGAGATAATGTGCCCCAACCTTTCACTTCATTTGAAGCTACTGGTTTTCCTTCAGAGATTCTTAGGGAGGTATGGACCTAATTTCATTCTTTTAAATTCTTGGATGGATAGAAACTTTGTAGGCATAATAAACTGTGAGTCCCACTCCATTGTTACGACATTTGTTGACTGATGGGGGTTTAATGTGGAGATTAAGAACTCATTCTTAGTTTCCATTTGCACTTCTCGTCGCAGGTGCGATGTTTGCTCCAAGGAGGAGCCAAATGTCGTACACTGTGCTGCCTTCGCATGGACTTGCATATTTTTGCATTGTCCTTATTGGTGGACAAACTTTTCTGAAGGGCTTTACAAATCATCCAAGTTCGTGGCCGGGGCTTCTGGTGGTAGTGATTCAGTCTGCCTTTTGGTCCAAAAAGAAGACGTGTCCTCCTACTCTAGCTTTCATCTGTAAGCAATGATTGTCTACATTGTGGGATGATGCTTCTTCTTGCATGGGCTACTCGAATAAGCTTAAAAAAGTCGTCATTCAGAAATTTTAAAGTCAGTTACGCTGCTCACAGGGGTTGTGGGTTTTATTTATTTATTTATTTATTTTTTCCAGGTGTACCATGCTGGATTTTCTACTCCTACACCAATACAGGCACAGTCATGGCCAATTGCTCTACAAGGTTCTGACGTAGTAGCCATTGCGAAGACAGGCTCTGGTAAAACTTTGGGTTACTTGATTCCTGGCTTTACTCACATAAAGAAACGACACAATAATCCCAAATTAGGTCCAACAGTTCTAGTCTTGTCACCGACAAGGGAGTTGGCAACTCAGATACAAAATGAAACTGCGAAGTTTGGAAAATCATCTAAGATATCTTGCACGGTATGGATTTAATGATGTTTGCTTGGCTTATTTTGGATCAAATAAAATAACTATAATGCTGTTATAAAGTTGCTTTCTACTTGTTTTTATTTAGTGACCTTGCAGTATTCACACAATTGCACACATCTATAAACCCTCCCAAAACAAAATAGCACACAAAAGTTGAGTATGTGTTAAATGTATTATTATATGGGTGAATGAATTTTGTTGCTGATTCTGGTTCTTGTTCGTTGTTTAATGAAGTGTTTGTATGGAGGTGCACCAAAAGGTCCTCAGTTGAGAGACCTAGACAGAGGTGTAGATGTTGTGGTTGCTACTCCTGGTCGCTTGAATGATATTCTAGAGATGAGAAGAGTAAGCCTCCGTCAAGTTTCATACTTGGTGTTAGATGAAGCGGATCGGATGTTGGATATGGGGTTTGAACCTCAGATAAGAAAGATTGTCAAGGAGGTGCCTACTACCAGGCAAACACTTATGTACACAGCAACATGGCCAAAGGAGGTGCGGAGAATTGCTGCTGATCTTCTGGTTAAACCTGTTCAGATTAACATTGGAAATGTTGATGAGCTTGCTGCGAACAAGGCTATTACCCAGGTCATTCTTCCTAAAAATTTCCATGAGTCTTATGTTGAAGTTCCAGCTTTTTATCTATTTTTTAATGCGTTTGTAGCTAAACATCATTTTTGTTTTTGCTTCTGAAATTTTCATAGAAATATTGACAGCAAATATATTTCTCATATGTCAGTATGTTGAAGTCCTTTCACCCGTGGAGAAACATAGGCGGCTGGAGCAGATATTGAGATCTCAAGAACCAGGATCGAAGATAATAATATTTTGTTCAACTAAGAAAATGTGCGATCAACTTGCACGTAACCTAACCCGCCAATTTGATGCGGCTGCTATTCATGGAGACAAATCTCAAGGTGAGAGGGATCATGTGTTGAGTCAGTTTCGCACAGGAAGGTCACCGGTGCTTGTAGCCACTGATGTTGCTGCTCGTGGCCTGGACATCAAAGATATTAGGCAAGTGGTTTTCCAGGTTTTCCAATTCACACCTCTCTCTCTCTCTCTCTCTCTCTCTCTCCCCCCCCCCCCCCCCCCCCCCCCCCCCCCCCCCCCCCCCCTCCCCCCCTTCCTTTCTTGATATAGTCTAGCGCCATCTAACCCCTCCCACTTAGCATGTCCTAAAAGTCAAACAGATTGTGTAGATTTTATGGCATTCTGTGACATGATATGATTTATATTGCTTTTATTTTCCCGTGTTATTGGTTTTTTCACCTCCCTGGTAATCTCTTCTATTGTTACAGGGTGGTGATAAACTTCGACTTTCCCACTGGAATAGAGGATTATGTTCATAGAATTGGAAGAACAGGACGAGCAGGTGCAACTGGAGTGGCTTTTACATTTTTCTGTGACAAGGATGCAAAACATGCATCGGATCTTGTCAAAGTTTTGAATGGAGCAAATCAATGTGTCCCTGTTGAAATTCGTGATTTGGCTTTATGTGGCAATGGAATGGGAAAGGCAAAACGCCAATGGGGTTCAGGCCCTAGCATACGTAATGGAGGTCATTTTGGAAGCTATGATTCTGTCTATGGTGGACGTGGCAGGTTTGTTCCTTTTAATGCTTTGTTGGTTCTTACTTTCACATTTTTAAATTGGGAAAATCACAGCATTGGTCCTTAGCCTTCTGTCTCAGTAGAAGGTTGCCAATGTCCTGAAAGAAGCAAGTTGCACAATCAGCCCCCAGTGATAAAAATGTCTAAAATTTTCTTTAGTAGTCAGTAGTCACTTGGTGCTTTGGGAAACATGCTTCACTTCGAATTTCTAGGCACCAATTTGAGTTGAGAAACAACATATAATCTTGTGAAGTTGGACATGCGAGGGTCATACCATGATTTATTGGAGATTTGTATGGTTTCTGAAGTGGTGGCAAACCGGCTGAGTGGCTCACCGGCTTGACTCGGCTCAGCCCATGGGTTGTCCGGGCTTGTATTGAGATGAGAGCCACGAACTGACTCGTCTTGAACTAGTGGGTTTGTTTTATTTTATTAATTTTAATAAAATAAAAGAATGAGCCGAATCGTGCTCAGCTTAGCTCGTTGCCACTCGTACGTTTCTGTCATTGAGGGCCAATTGAGAACTATGCTGAAGGATTGAGAGCCAAATTACTATTTTTTTCGAAGGTGGGGGACCAAGTTGAGACCAGTAATGCAATTTTTCCTTTAGAAAATTCTATTGACATATTCCCATTCTTTCCTTTTTCTTTTCTGGGGATGTGAGTTGTATAGCCTCACAATGGATTTTGATTTACAATGTATTGTTGACATTGTATCTTGCTTGTTGATTGGTTTGGCTTCGTAGTCTAACAAAAGGTGTCTTTATATTATTTGATATGTGCAGCAATAGGTATGGTGCACATCGCAGTAGAAGCCCCAATAGAAATTTAGTTTGATGCAGAATATGCTGATGGAACTTGTCCCAATTAGGAAGAGTAAGAGGATGAAGGACCATTCACGTTGAAGGCCATATCATTCTTCCAGATAAAAAATTGCTTGTTTCGGGCAGTGAATAAGGACTGATTATTGATGAATTTTGTGCTTCTGACGCTGTATTTTTTCCTCTGTTGTATTCTTTGTCCTTGGAACCTATTTGAATAGTGCTTTAGCTACGGCTGGGGAATTTATACTTGTGATAGTAAAATTAAGACTAATTGTTTGACATTGTTACATGTGAACAACAAAGTAAGCTTCCTGTCCAATGAATTTACTTTGGATTTATGAATCTTTGTTATATACTTTGTTCTGTTAACCTAAAACTAAGTAATTATTTAGATGTCTATGATCTCAGCCAGTGTCTTGGCTACATCTATTCTGCTATTTTAGAAAAAAGTTTATGAGAAAATTATTCTAGTGGATGGATGATATCTAAACGTGAAATGTTGACTCTGCTGATATCGTAACAAGTGATGACCAAATTGTGCTGCTTATCCACTTTTTTCGTGTAATTGATCCTACAAGAAAATGAAATGGTCGTGGTTGGTGTTTTTGCTAATTAATTATGTAGCATAACTTGTTTAACGTCATTCCAAGTTCTTGTGTAATGACATGGTGAATGCATTCTGCGGTTAGAGTTGGATTCTCCCTTTTGGGAGTTGACGGTTTTCTGTTCTCTGTTTTTCACCCTTTACTCATGTTACAATGTTATTGTTCATGTACGAGTATTTTACATTTTAAGGTGGTCCTTGTGATTTCTTAAAAGATAAAAGAGGGGACCGACTTTGGTCGCTTTGGATACGGCATGGTAGGGGGATCGCACAATTGAGAAAATGTGGGTTGATTAATTGCATTTTTGTGCATTAGTTGAACGGCGACATATGGGTAGTATTAAAAAAATAAGGGATTTGCCATATGTACATTAGAGTTACATACACCATGGGCTTTCTCATGTGAGGGGGGTGTACACTAGATTAGAATGTACGCTCTAGTGTACAATTGTCTTTACCGAAAAAATAATTGCAGTTGAGGGTATGATGACCTTTTAATTTTATGTTAAAGTCTCTATTCGAGTGTGAGTTTTCCAGTTTTCACCATTTTGAGCCTCGGGAAGTTTGTTTATTCTTTGGAAATTACAATAAAAATTTGTAAAATCGAGGGAGTAAGGACGAGTTTACCAGTTTGTGATTATTTAGTAATCATTTTGAACATCTTCAAAACTTTCTCATCTTTAATAGCAATGGAGATCTTCTGTAAATTTAAATAGTAAATTTTTTTACACTTTGACAATGCTTTCTAGGGCTGGATAAAATTTTCAAACCGAATCCGAATCTAATCGAGCCGAACGGTTCTTCTTAAATTAAATACCCGAACGGATATCTGAATTAAGAATCGATGAGTTTGGTTCAATTTTCGGTTCTAGATAAAAGATTGAAGAATTGAATCTTCCTAATTTTTTTAATTGATTTATTTTAAATAAGTTAGATTATTTTATTTTTTTTTGTAAATAAATTTGCTAATTAGTTAATTTAGCTCAAATTCAAAAATATAATTTTCTTATTTCTAATTTTTAGTTCAAAGTCAACTTAATCAAATTGATCTAAATTTTATTCAAATCAGTTACTCTACTGTAGTGTCGTTTCTACTGTTTTGGAATAATCGAATTGAAGCTCGACAATGCCTCTCTTAATTATTGTGAGCTTCTTATCTTTTTCTTTCTATGATTTTAACAATCAGATATATGAAGAAGTCAGCAAATAGAGAAGAAAAAGACACAAAAGATTGTACCACGTTATGTTGTAAGAGCTAAGATTAAAATATTATTAGTTGAATTAATGTAGTTTTGTAAATATAAAAGAATTTAATTATAATATAGAACCTCGGAATTGAATGGAACCAAATCGTATGGAACCGAACCCAATCGGTTCTATTATTAAATTTGAACCTGACGATTTTACTTATTAAATACCCGAAAATTTCGGATTCGATTCGATTTTCGTTAGAATCGAACCAAACCGAACCGAAACGAATCATGTCCAGCTTTAATACTATTTATTTGGTTCATAATTTTGCTTTTCTAATTATTTATTATTTATTTTTTAGCATCTTTTATTTAGCATATTATTTTGTATTTTAATGGTCAATCAATTCATGTATGATCTGACTAATTTAAGGAGTTGAGTACTAAAATTTATAACTTATTAAATGCAATTATATTATAATATAAGAAAGAGTTTGAATACTCAAAACGCATTCTACATTTTAAAAAGTTGAAACAAGAAAGTAGAAGTATCTTAGACTTCATTTATAAGTATTAACTTTTTAAAAAAGAGAGTATTTTTGATTTATAGATTCTTTGGCGATGTCCTTACCTTCTATACCAAAGGTCATGCATTCTTGCTCATAGGTCGATTCTCCAATGCATTCCAATGAAGGTCTCCCAAATTTTCTCTCTTTTTTTTCTTTCTAAAAAAAAAAAAAAAAAAAAAATCAAATCAAATATGAAGCAGAAGAACCCGAGCCCAAAAAATTTGAAAGCTTTGGATGAAGTTTTAATTTTTTAAAGAACGTGAAAGATTCATTCATGAAAAGTTATATGACTCTTTCTTCAGGAAATTATTTATTTTTGATGATTTCTTTTGTTTTTGTTATCAAATGAAATTGGGAAACACTTAAACGCTCCAATTTCTATCTTGTTTTGGCGATTTTATGATAATGGATTTTTGTTGTAATTTTTGTCTTTGTTTGGACCGGAGTGCGATTGATGATGTAACATTGAGAATTGTTGTGATTTTTGTACTTTTCACTTGAATTGATTGTGATGGAAAAATAATTTAAACCAAAATATACGTATTCTTTTGATGATCACGAGATAAAAGTGATGAAAATGATGTTGGAGACAAACTTGGTGATATTTGAGATAAACATAAATCTGTATTTTTTTAAGTTCGATTGTGCCCCACCAACTCCAAACGTCTGCATTCGCCACTGTCCAAACATGCTCTCTCATGCATCTACTACTCGTACTAGGGAATTCGTTTTCAAGGTAACGGCACCAATGATTCTACCGTTAGTTCTATTACTTAATGATACTTAAGGTTTCTTATATACATTTCAGAAGTTTCAAAGTAAAACTGATGCAGGAGCATACAAATTTGACAATGAACAATTAAAGAACTAGAAATGAAAGTCCAAGAAAAGAAAAAAAAAAAATTAGGACAAAAGATAAATTAATTTGTCATATATTCGAGGGTACATATTACAATAAATAAGTCATCTATTTATAAAGTACATTATCTAAAACTAATAAAACTTCTAATAATCTAGAATTTAAAATATTAAAACTAAACCAAATCCAATTAAAATAAAAATACTTTGAATTAAACTCTTAAGTTAATATTTTATCTGAACTCTTATCTTAATTATTTATCGTTATCCTATCTATATCTCTATCATTTCTTCTCGATTGAGAGAATTCGATTCTAACAAGATAGACAAGAATTTCTTAGTCAATGATGACGATCTTTTTCACTAACCAAATAATGCAACATATCACATGATGACAATTGAACTTGCAAATCATCCTCAATAATGTGATAGGACCAAGTTGACAATCTTTTCTTTTGACCAAGTACCAATAGTAAACTTTGGATAGTACCAAATGTTACCATCAATCATAAAAAACATCATTTGGCTTCTCACATAAGTAAAATTCGGGACTAGCACCGTAGATTAGCTTGCAAAAACAAATTATTGTAATATCGAAGGCTCAAATATGCCCTCATAAGCACAATTAGACTATATTGAAAATTTAACTTTCATTCAAGTGAGATAGTCAGTCATATAGATTATTGTTATGTGAATAATTCAACACCCTTTTCTTCATATATTTAGGAACTTAGTCAAAAAAGCGTTAAATAAAGCATAATAATTACCTCTGAAGTTTCCGAGCTTATGTTGTGCATCAAAAGTAAGCTAAAAAGTTCCATTTTTTTTACCGTTTGAGAAGGTAAGTGGGATCCGGACATACATTAATTATTGAACCATTACAGTGACCTTTCGAATGGTGAAATGTTGTGAGCATGCAAAATGACATGAGTGTTCCTCCATGATTTTAAACTTGTCCAACAATGAAGGGCAGAAATGACTGTTGGCATAGTATGGTATTCATTTGAGTGGTCAATTGTTGTGGACATGTCAGTTTTGACAAAAATTGGCCTCATTCCAGCGATTAAAATTTTTTATATTGTGTGAAAAATAATTGCTCCCAGACAAGGGCATAGTATGTTGAGAATTAGTAGCAACATTTGAATATCGATAGGAAGATAATGTAAGTGAACTATTGCCTTGAAAAAAAAATAAAAAAATTGTGGCAGCATGGGGAAATTATCAATTATAGATAATTTCTCCACTATATCATGATTAATTATGTCCAAAAATTGGTGTGCCGTCTGAGGCTAGATATGAGACAAGTCTTAAAATTCTCGTCCTCGCTATCAGAAGAGTAAATAGATTCGATAGTAAAAACCTTATTTTCTTCTTCAGGAGGATAACTAATGCAACTAGACTTAGGAACTCCCAAAAATAATTTTTATTTTTATTTTATTTTTATATTTTTGCTCTCCAAAATAAAAACATCAACTAAACAACAGATACCAACGGGCTTTTATTATTATTTATTTATTTATTTATTTATTTATTTTTAAATTAACTACAAACACCAAAGAAGAAGGGAAAAAGGGAAAAACTACTGTATTTTTATGAGGGCAAGAGAATTCAATTTATTCATACATTCAAGGGTACTTATCATGATGACTAAGCCCTCCAATCATAGAACAAATAATCTAAAACTAATAGAATTTCTAATAAGCTAGAACTTTATCAAATTATTAAAACTAATCAAATCTAATTATAAAAAACACACATTGAATTAAACTCTAATTTAAAATCCTATTTACAATTTATCTTTATTCTTTATAGTATCTCTATGTCCATAAAAAAACATTTTGGGTTCCAATTCATAAACCTAATTTCAAATAGTGGATTAGAGATTCATCTTTGAACCAAAAACAAATACCAAAGAAGAAGGGAAAACTACTGTATTTTTATTAGGTTGAGAGAAATCAATTTATTCATATACTCAAGGGTACCTATTCCAGTACATATAAACCCTCCAATTATAGAGCAAATAATCTAAAACCAATAAAACTTTTAATAGCTAGAACTTTATGAAATTATTAAAACTAATCAAAGATAATTAAAAAAAAAAAAAACACATTGAATTAAACTCTAAGTTTAAAAT